TATATATATATATATATATATATATATATATATACATCAGTATGTAATTACACACTACAGTATGTACTCAGTTACTATTTTTTGAATCAGTGGCAATACTAGAATCCAGCATTATCCCATACTGTCAGGATCCTCATTGTATATTCACCTTTCTCCATTTCAGTGTTATATACACAGCAGTATATACTTAAGCATACACTACAGTTAACTATTTTTGTATCCAGTGCCATTGCTAGGATTCAACAAACAAATGCATACTATGTAGCATACTACACTATGATATTTAGAATGTAAGTACGTGGGCTGCTTATGCATTATACCACACATACTGCACACAATGGAAAAAGATAGTACGCAGTAGAAATTAAACAGCATACTACTTAGTGCACTAAGCTATACAGTATATGCACTGCAATTATCTAAATGTTGTATCACAGGCTGTCACAGGTCTGCATGTAACACGACATGTGAACGTTCAGCATTTCTTCTGGTTAGGAAGCACAGTAAGCAGTTATGAGTTAATGAAAAATAAATCTACATGATCTAAAAGAATTTGAAATAGAGTACATGCTACGATACATAATCTATTTATATTTCTACTGCATTAAAAATGCTAAATAGTATGCACTATAATACATACTGTGCATACTAAACTATACTATATCTACAATGTAAGTACGTAGGCTATGTATGGAATATACCACACATACTGCACACTACTACTAGGAGCACTCTGTATAAATTAAACAGCATACTATGTAGTGTACTAGATATGCACTAAAGGCTATCACGGGTCTGTGTGTAGCACTCATCATTGTATCTGGTTATTATAAGCACAGGAAGAGTTTATGACGGGTTCATTATAGGCCCACGCGCTCGGCCGGTTGTTTAGGCTAAAGGTGAGCCGGCTGGAGGAGCAGTTGACCGGCAGCAGCTGCCGTGCTTGGACCGGTGTGTCTGCTGCCCTGCGCTGGTGCTGCTGCACCTCCTGAATAATGAATGAGTGACGCGCACATTGCGGCTCTCTCTGCGGCGCGGACGGGGCGGGCTCGCGCATGCATTATGACGCGCCGGTGACGCGCATGCAGGAGTTTTAATCCTCTGCCGCAGCAGCAGATCAGCCGGTAACGCGAGGAGGGGGATGCGCGGTCGGTCGCACGTACGGACGGCTAGATCGGCTAAAAAAAAGCCGCAGACAATTAAATCCGCGAACAATCTATATAGCGTGCAAAAAGGCGACCGACTCGACCGAAAGCTCCTCCTCTCTCGCTCCAAGCAGGCTTTGGGAAGTTCTAGGACTCAGTGTCTTTCTTATTGTTCCCGAGCAGGCCTGGGTGGACGTACGAGAGCTTTGACGCAATTAAATGGGTGATTACAGCTTCGGCTTGTTGCAGACAGCGAACACCAACACCGCCATCATCAGCGGACCCGCGCTCTTCGGCGGAGACGCGTACACACCCTACCGCAGCGCGTCCCCGGTGCGCCCCAGCAGCTCGCCTCGGGTGTCCCCTCTCTTCCCGTCACATCAGCGCAACATGCAGGATGAGCCTGCGGGGTTGACAGCCTCTCAGTCCAGCAGCGAGCAGAGCAGCCGTTTTTCCGCCGCTGGTCACGCGCAGACAGCCGGTGACCTTCAGCACGACCGGAACATACATCAGCAGGCTGATCCGCAGCCGCCGTACTCCTCCTCCTCCTCCTCCTCCTCCTCTTCGTCCAGCACGGGCCTGGACACCGATGCGCCATCGTCCAAGGTGAACATCCAGATGGAGTCCCCGAGCGCGCACCACATCAACAACGGCACCGGCGCTAATAACATGCTCGCGGGCGCGTTCCCGGAGATGCAGAACGCCGGGGGCGGCGGCGGCGGCTCGGCTTCCCCCACCCTGCCCGCGTTCGGTACGCCGTGGTCGGTGCAGACCAGCTCCCCTCCTCCGCCCGTCTCCAATTCCGCGAACGCAATAAACCCAATCCCCGCCACCACCGAGCCGGACACCTACTACCCGGGCATCCCCTCCTCCATCAACCCCGGCTTCTTCCAGAGCTTCTCGGCCAACCCGTGCCCTGTGCAGGGCTTCAGCAGCCCGTTCTCCCCGCAGATCAACGTCCCCCCGCAGCCGCAGAGCCGCCGGTCCCCGGTGAGCCCGCAGATTCCCCCGCAGCAGCAGGGCGCCTTTCTGCAGCACAGGAACAACTACAACCACCACCAGGTGAGCAGCCGTGTTCACTAACACAGCAATAAAAACATCTTCAGCAACGCTAACAGTGATAGTAATAAATAATATTAGCAGTGATTGAAGGCTGCGGTTGAGCTGTCATTGTGACGCAATCGCGGCCCTGAATCGTCACCTCTTGCGTCATAATGCAGCGCTCAGTGAAGCCATTGTGACGTCTGTGCGCTGAATACAAATGCGGCCTGTCAGTGCGTCACAAGCTTTCTGCATACTACGCAGTGCACACTGCTGAGCAGGATTGACTAGTGAGCATGAGAGAGAGTGTGTTTGACATGTTCAAATGCTTCACAGGGATTTATGCAGCTTTAGGGGGTTCAGTTATGTTGTGGACCCCCATCATTATGTGGGACTCCTCTGTCACACACTGTCTTTTATGAAGAGTCAGTTTATGCTGTGAAAAACCCAAGTTATCATGAAGAAATATTATGGGAAAAAGTCTGAAATATTACGATAATACCAGAGACTGTAAAAATAATCATAATATTATTTACATGTTTATATATCACTTTCAGTTAAGTTTCATGATTACGCCTGTCATATTTGTTATTGTTGCATTTTTTACTGAGTTTTTTAATCTGATCAAATTAAAGTTAATCACTTATAA